CTGTATCAGGGCACCTCCAGTCATCCTGATCTATATCTTGCCACTGGACCCAGATGGCTCCAAAGGAGAAAGTGAGGCTGGTAACTTTTTGCACATCCCTTCCTCACTCAAATACAAAGCACTTGCAAGTCATGGCATCGCCTTCTTGATGTCATAGTCTTGCTTGAGAACAAAGGGCAAACAACAACAATTCTGACTAGATTCAAGGTGCTGAACTATGAGCCACAGAAGCCACTGCAGATCATAGTTTTGTGTTTAAAATCTGCTGTTCACTCTCTGGGTGGCCAGAGGGCACAGTGGATTGAGCATTGGGCTTAGAGTCTGGAAGACCTGAGTTCAAATTCTGCCTCAGACACTTATTACCTGTGTGACTCCGGACAAGTCACTTAATTCTGTCTGCCTCAGTTTTATCATCTCTAAAATGGGGATAATAATAGCACTTATCTCACAGGGCTCTTGTGAGGGTCAAATAAGATGATATGTATACTGCTTTGCAAACCTTAAAGTGATATACTAAATTTTTGCATTTATGAGACCTTGAGAAAGATAGTTTACCTCTTTGGGCTTCAGAGAGCCACTTTTCAATGACTTTTAAGGTCACTTCCAGCTCCAAGTCCTATGACCTTTAGGAGTAAGGCATACCAGAAGATCTCCATCTCTATGAAGCTCCTTATGTTACAGCTAGTCAGACCAACAGTACATAGATTGGATTCCTCCCATAGAGGAAGCTGGTGAAATTCCCATTATTCTAGGCCACTGGACAAAGTGGCCAGGGACACCAGGTCACCCATGTGCCTGGAAAAACACAAGGCATTCAATTTCACCCTTCACATGGGGCCCTGCATGCAGGATGGGGCTGTCTCAGAAGGTAACTATACTGGCAACTTCTCCTTTCAGATTCTGCTTAAAATCCTCTCCATTCTCCCATTGCAGTGTTCAGTGTGGGGCAGATCCCATGAGTAACACTGTCTAGTTGTTGGTGGTCCCTTGGAGGAATAAAGTCTATGAGGGGGAGGATTCCTCAACTACTTCACCAATTCCTGATAGGCACTGGATCCCCGGGGGGAGAGTGAGGAGCTGCCAGGGAAGCTCTTAAAACAATCCCGTTTGGTCACCCAGAGGGGAGGCCAGGACAATAGCCTCCAGGTGGGGAATCTCTCCTTCATAATGCTCTTCCGGCTCCAGCAAGCCCCTCCATTAGAGAAACAGAAAACAGGGATCCAAGCCCCCAGAGTCATTTTCCCCACAGCAGTATCTCTTCAATCTGCTCCTCAGGGAAAGGAAGACAGGAGATGGAAAGGGAAGGAGTGGAGATGGAAACCTTTTGGTCCAAGTCCCCGAGTTCTAGCATTTTCCCTTCCTTCTGTCTGTTTTCACAAGTCATGGAGTATGCCAGTTCTATGTATTTATGAGTTCCTCCCAGAAGAAATAATTTCTTGAAAAAAAAAAAGCATGGTGCGTTAACGTTCACCTTGGCCATCTTTTTTCCTATCATGAACTGTCCACTTCAAGCCAGTCTTCCTTTTCAGGCTCTACTTCGGTCTGGGAATTGAGTGGTGCATTTGTGATATTCCACAGCATACAACTTAATTACTTTACTTGCTTCTTAAATAAGCCCCTTCTCTTTTTTTAATGCTTCAACCATCTTCCCCTTCAAGAGCCAAGGTCTGACTTAATCCAGCCTACTTCAACAGGGTCTTCCCTAGAAAGAATCATGGGACCTCAGTGGCCATCTAGTCTAATACTCTCATTTGACAGATGAAGAAACTGAGGCCCAGTGCAGGGGTGGGGGGTGAGGTCAGTTGCTCAAGATTACACAGACTTTGTCATTATCAGAGCTGAGGTGAGAGAGGATAGGCCCCCCATGAACTGGATAATGAAGAGCCTTGAGTCCATGTCCTCTGAGGAGTGTTTGAAAAAACTGGGCATATTTGGAAGACAAGATTCTGGGGAAACATGATATGTCTTCAAGTATTTGAAGGAGGAGGAGTTGGACTTATTCTGATTGATCCCTAAGGCCTGAACTATGTCTAATCAATCAATAAAGATTTATTAAGTGCCCATGATATCTCAGGCATTGTGATAGCTGAGGATTTGGTTCTTGTTGAGTAGTTTTTTCAGTCATGTCCAAAACTTTATGAGCCCATTTGGGGTTTTCCTTGGCAAAGACACTGGAGTGGTTTGCCATTTTCTTCTCTAGCTAATTTTATAGATGAGGAACTAAGGCAAAGAGGGATAAATGACTTGCCCAATGTCACACAGCTAGTAAGTATCTGAGGCCAGATTTGAACTCATGAAGATGAATCTTCCTGATTCCAGGACTAGTGCTCTATTCACTGTGCCACCTGGCTGCGCAGGTACTAGGGATACAAATGCAATAAATTAAGAAATTCTTATTCATAAGGAGCTTACATTCTAATGGATGGTTGGAAGTCAAAAAGGCCAGTTCAGGCTTAATGTCAGAAAAAAACCCTAACAATTAGAGCTATCCCAAAGTGGAACGAACTGACTGCCTGGACACCCTCTCCTTGGAGGTCTTCAAGAAGTGGCTAGAGGTATCCTTGTTGGGTATGTTATAATGGGCATTCTTCTGGTGTATGGGTTGAACTAGATGGCTGATGAAATTCCATTCTGTGAAATTGTCATGAGAGAAGTTGTTTCTCCAAATCCTTATGCTTGTCATCACCAGCTCCCTCTTTGAAAAGAAAAAATCAAGCTTCTTTGCTTCCAGCTAGGCCAGGGGCCAGAGAAGCAAGGCAAGAAAATAAGGGGATGATGGGCAATCCATGAACACGAGGGGAAAGCTGAGATAGATGGATCTGAAGACAGAGACACTCCTTTCCTATCTGGGAGAATGTAAGATGGCAGACCACAGGGGTGCTTTGTTCTTTCTATGTATTCCACAGATCCTGATACAGATTAAGAACTCAGCTAATACTTGTTCAAAGGATCATGAGACTTAGCCCTGGAAGAGACCTTAGACAACATTTAGTCTAGGGCCCAGACAAACTAACTAACTTGCCTGGTGTCAAGTCAAAGGGCTTGGGTTCAGATCTTGGTCTTTTTTTTTTCTTTTTTCTTTTTTTAGGCAATTGGGGTTAAGTGACTTGCTCAGGGTCACACAGCTAGTAATGTCAAGTGTTTGGTCTGAGATCAAATTTGAACTCAGGTCCTCCTGACTTCAGGGCCAGTGCTCTATCCACTGCGCCACCTAGCTGCCCCAGATCTTGGTCTTTTAGCCCAGCTTCACTGATGACTGATTATAAGACTGAGCATTTCCAAGCCCTAAGAGATCAAGACATTGTTGCTCCTTTTGCCCTTGAACTCTGGCTGGTTGAGAGAATGAAATTGCTTTCAACAGTGGGGTTTGTTTATAAATGAGAATGCAGTATCATTTCTACACTTCCTCCTCTTCCTTTTTTTCTGCCTCCGCCTCTTCTTCCTCCTTCTCACATTGGCTAAAACCTAGGGTATATAAATAAGATGAATAGGAGATAAGATGGGAAGACAGATTAAAATTGGATTATGGCAGCAATGTTAAGTGCACTGGATTTGGAGACAGAGGACCTGGGTTCAGATCCTGATTCTGCTACTACTACCTGAATGAGTGACTCTTCTGGAGTCTCCTCTTGTCTTAGGCAAGCCATGTGGTGAAACATATAGGATGTAGAACTTAGAGTCAGGAAGACCCAAGTTCAAATCCTGCCTCAGACACTCCCTTGCTGTGTGACCCTGGGCTAGTCATTTCATCTCTCTATGCCTCAGTAAGATGGGAATAATGATAACATCAACCTCATAAGATTATTATGAATTTCAAATAAATTAGCATATATAAAGCACTTTGTACCTTAAAGTACTATATAAATGCTATTAATTATTATTATTATTATTTGTGAGTAAGAGGGCTAGACTAGCTGACTTCTGAGATCTCTTCCAGCTCTAAATCTATAATCCTGCAGTTTCATGACTCCAAATTCAGTGTTTCTTCTACCACACAATGCTGCCTCCCCTTGCTATCGATTGAGAAGAATTACCAGAGGAGGAGAGGGAAGCAGGAGAAATTTTCAGAGATTCAAGAGAACAGAAGGAGGAGAGAGGAAAGAAGAAGAAAAGGGTACTCAATAGAATGACACATAGAGAAAATGAAGGAAAAGGAGAATGGGAGAAAATAGAAGTTCAAAGAAGAAAAAGAAGGAAAAAAAAGGAAGGTATTAAGTATAAAGGAGTGCTTTAAAAAGAAAGTATAAAAAAAAGTAGGGAGGAGGGAAGAATAGAGAGAAGCCAAAAATGGAGAGTAAAAGGGGAGAGAGAGAGAGACAGAGAGAGAGAGACAGACAGAGAGAGAGAGAGAGAGAGAGAGAGAGAGAGAGAGAGAGAGAGAGAGAGAAATGAGGAAGAAGAAAGGGAAAGTGGCAATGAACTCCAGTGCAAGGCACTGTAGGCCTCTAGAATATTTATATAATTCTGTCTTTTTCCCTGTCAGGACTTCAAAATATCTGTGCTCTTAGCAATATGGGCACTCCACTCACCAGCAAAGATTGCAACTCCTAAGTATCTTAGGAGACAGCCTTCATGAATTGCTGACGCCAAAAAAAAAAAAAAGGGAGAAAAATATCAGCCTTTGGTAGCCAATCTTCAGGGAATGAGTCTCTGCCATTCTGGGTATGATAGTTTTGATGAGAATTCTAACAGCTTCCTAGAGAATAGCATTGGTGGGAATAAAATGGCGATGTGTGGGTATGTGACATTTTTAGCATCTTAAAAACCACGTCATCTTTGTTTCTCTGATCGTCTCAATCACACAATCAGTTTTTTGGAGAGAGGGAAGACTGCTGGATTTGTTCCTGCCACAGTAGGTACTCACATTATTGACCCAAGGTAGGACTGAAGAACCTGACCTTTCATTGACCCAAAGCTTTCCTCTCTATTAACAATAGACGTGGCCAAGACCCACAAAGGGAAGGGGGAAAAAAAGAAGAAACTGTGAGGAAATGTTCCTTTTTCAACATGTTGGTTTTCTCCATGTCCAGGCATTTTATTAGAATTTCCAGATCAGGAAACATGGAAACATTAGGGGAGGGGAGAAGAAATGGAAACATTACGAACGAAGACACTGGTTCTGAAGGTCTTGCCAGATGAGCCAGCTGTTGTTTTCTTTAGGAACTCTATGAAGAGGTTGACAGTAACCTGTCTAGGAGGGAGGGTTGGACTGCAGTAGCCACAGCAGCTGAATGCCATCAAAGAGAGAGAGAACATGAACATAAAATTCTCCACTGACATCTCAAGCTTGCTCAAGACACTTAAGAAGGCCGGGGAAAGAAGAGCAAAGCACAAGCTAAGTGTACTTAATACTTAACCCTACCCCACGATGGTCCTTAGAGGGTACCTCCTTCATGCACGTCTGACCACACAGTCATCATTGCTGCAGTTCTTGAAGGCACTGAAGGTGACTTACAAACCTCTAACTGTGGAAGTCCTTACAAAACAAACATAACCACCCCCTCCACACATGCACCCACACATACATACACATGCACACACAAATCCCCGATAATCATTGGAAGAAAATAATTGTTGAGTTCAAGGCAAGTCGCAACACGTTCATCTCCCAAAGAGAATGGCTTGGCTTTGTTTTTGCCTTTTTGAAAAGAAATGTGACAGCCTGCAATGCTGATACTGTCAGCTCTCAGTGCTGGAAATAAAGGACTAGCTAAAGACTTGCTTTGGAAAGATCCAAGGCTGTTACCTCGAATTACCTGGGAGAGGGAAATATTCTTATTTCCCCCTGAATTCCAGAACCAACTTGGGAAGAAGAGCAAGACAGCCATGAGTCTGATCCGGCCCAGGGATTTTCTTTTCTGTATACATCTTCCTATGAATATTCATTTACTTATGAAGCCTCCAAAGCCGTTTACTTTCTATTTTCGGGAAGGTCTTTGTTGGGGAAACTGTATTTTTAAGAGAAGAAAGAACTTTTTTAAAAAACTGAAGTGAATTCACCAATCACCAGAAGCAGCAGCTGGGGGTACCATTCCTTCTCTGTGCCATTCTTTCCCAGATGACTTTGAATGTCAACAGCCCTCATGCTTCCCTCCCACTCCCCTGATCCAAAGGATTTCTCAACTATTCCTCAATTAAGCCTTCTGCTACCTTTAAGAAGTGTAGATTTCACTCCATTCTCTGCATAAAGCTGGAATCAGGTGCCCTGGTACAGTGATTTGCACCCCTGAGGCAGAAATAAAAGACTAAACTGAATTGAATCGAAGACCTCCCAGCCAGTCGGAGGAGGCAGGAAGGGGAACTAAAACATGGGGAGTTGATGCCATTTTCTCCTCTTTAACAACTGTCAGGCTTTCCTAATGTGTCCTGGAGAACATCCAGTTCCCTTGAGACTCAGAGACATTCATCTTACTGGTAGTGATTAAGCAGGTATTTAACATCCAGGTGGTCTCCCAACTTACAACACCTGACTTACAAATAATCCACGCAGATGGCTAGCCAACTTCCCCTGCTCCCTACAAGAATATGTGCTGCCTCTGATGTGAAAGAGGTATGAATTCAGAAGTAAAGGAAGGGTAGTAGTTGTGAAAAGCAGGAACAGCTTTAAGGTAACTGAGTGACTCCCAGGGGGCAAACTTCCAAGTGAAGCTGGCCTGCCCCCGTGGTAACCTTCCTGCCCCCAAAATAACCCCCCTCCAAGTTGCATGAATCTTTTCAGTTCCTTTTGTTGTATTCCCCAAAATTCACTAATGACAAATTCATATGGAATAATGTTCAAATATTTCTGGCAGGGTTAAAGAGTTATTTCTTGACCATTTACAATTTTAGTGAGAATTAATCCAACTGGATTGCTTTCTTCTGGACACATCTGAGACTGACTGTGAGGAATGGTCATTTTTTTCAGGGGTGGGGGGAATGTAGGTATGTAATTTTGGAATGGGGTTCTGCAGGGACAAGGGTGGGGAGGATTAAGGAAGCAGGATATTAGGATTAAGAATCCAGAGGGAAGGAAGGCAGACAGCTGTATGGGAAGATGCCGTGTCCAGACAGCTGTCCGCAATCATTAATGACTCCCTTCCCCCATTAGAACATGCAAAGAGACTGAAGGTTTTGCTATTGATGGTCATGATCTAGCACTGTTGAGAAGTAGTTGAATAAGCAGAGAAGAAGGCTTATGTGAGTGAGAAAGTGTGTAACAGTGAAATTGAGTCCATGTGCTTCTGATTACAGAAATATGGTGAGGGGGTGGATGGGATAATACCCAGTTATTTAGGAGCCCATAGAGTAGATGTCAGGGGGCAGCTAGATAGCACAGTGGGTAGAGTTTGGGGATTAAAATCAGGAAGACTCATCTTCTTGAGTTAAAATCTGGCACTTACTAGCTGTATGACCTTGGGAAAGTCACTTACTCCTCAGGAGAACTAAACGGCACACCACTCCAGTATCTTTACCAAGAAAACCCCAAATTGGTAGGGGTGCAGCTAGGTGGCACAGCCCTGGAGTCAGGAGGACCTGAGTTCAAATCCAGCCTCGGACACTTGATACTTACTAGCTGAATGACTCTGGGCAAGTCACTTAACCCTGATGGCTGTGCCAAAAAACAAACAAACAAAACAAAAATAAAAAACAAATGGGTCATGAAGTGTCAGTCGGACATGACTGAAACAGGTCAACAAGAAGAGTCAAGTCAAGAAGCATTTTATGAAACAGCTACTATGTGCCAGGCAATATGCTCAGTGCTAGAGATACAAAGAGAGGCAAAAACCAAAACAAAACAAAAACAAACACAAAAAACCAGTCCTCGCTCTCAAGAAGCTCAGTCTAATGGGGGAGACAATATGCAAAAAGGTATATGCAAACAGGATATAAACAGGAAGTACTTAGAAGGTTTGTACTTGGGTTTGGGGTAGGTAGGAAGATTAACGATGGGGGCTGGCATATTCTGATGGTATTTTGAGCTTTGAGGCCATGTGTCAACTGGACTCTATGGTCCAGGTCCCTTCCACAAAATGATACCATCTTTTTGTGATGACAAGTCCCTTCTCTGATGTGGATATCTGATTGACACAATTCCAAGCTTCTAGGAGACTGTACATAGGAGAAGGGGAAAAAAAGCTTGAGGTTGGGAGTTGGGAGGAAGAGAGGGAAAAAATGGATCCAGAGTCCAGATATGAGTGGAATTAGTGGCAAATGGAAAGCACTTGTGGGTATATGTGACAAGGTCTAAATCACATTATAAGCCTCACGTTACTCTCCTATCTGGACATTGATGCCTTAAGAGAAAATATGGAAGAGGGTCTTGGAAGACTTGAAAGAGGGTCACAGAAAGGAAGACAAATGGGTGCCTGAAACTCTGATTATTTAAAATGTGACATCAAGGCTTCCTATAGCAAGCCTGCTCTTACATATTCACTGGCATTCATATTCAGAGCCTTAATCAGGATGCGGTATTGCGGCCAGAAACTGATGTTTAGGGACCTGAGCTTCCTCCCCTGGGGATGGTTTTCATCCCTGTTCCTGGACCTTTCTTTCTTCTTTCAGCCCACATAGTAACAGAGGTTGGGGGTGGGGAAGATGAGCCCAGGGAAAGCTCAAAGTATCAGTGTTACAGGCCAGCAGATGTCAGGGGAGAAAACAAGCAACCCCCTAAAACTTGACCCATGCTTGAACTTTCCCCCAACTCTCATAGGGCCATAAGCGGAACTGTCTAGGGTTATGCCTATTCCCTTCCCCAACTGAATTTACCCTGGGTAATGGAATTCCTAGCTATGGCAGTATTCCCACCAGGACTGGGGAACCTGTAGCCTTGAGGCCACAGGTGGCCCTCTAGGTCCTCAAGTGCATCCCTTTGACTGAATCTAAACTTCAAAGAACCTGCCTCGAGGCTGCAGGTTCCCCACCCTTGGTTGACACTATTGCCCAGCTTTCTCTTATGGCCAACCCTCGGTCCATTGCTGCATTTTTCCATCTCTCATCCTACCCCCTTTGCCTCTTTTTATTTTTCCCTCTGCAGAGATGATGAAGAGCTCAGAAATGTGTCATTCACAAATATAGAATCTGATCAGGCTCTCTCATTGCTCCCCAAAACTGATATCACTATGTGGGAAGGTACTAGGAAACAGATCCTGCAAACGGTGTGGAATCAACAGGGCTTAATTCAAAGGTGGAATTTGCTAGCCTCCTACATTTGCCCTGGTAGCTTCTCTTTCCACACTCTTCCAAATAGAGGCTTACACAGAAATTGTTAGTGTTCCACCTCCCAGACACTCCCTCAATCTCTACCATAGCTAAAGTCTTTCTTCCTCACACGTACTCCACTCAGTCATGTTCTGTTATTCCTTTACCTCATTCATATTACTCCATCACTATTTCTACTGTGCATCCTCCAGGCAGATCTGATCACCAGCATGAAGAGAATATCTTGATGCTGCCTCATATGCCAATGAAATTGTGGGCAGCTGGAGCCTGGCATAGCCTCTGCCTTTCAATGAGGGCATTCCCTACACCTTACAAAAGGAAAGGAAACTCATTCACTTTCTCTCCTCTCCCTTTTTCTTCCTTCTAGGCCCCATGAATCCCTGCTTAAAAACCCAGGCTAGTACCAAGAATACTATAGTTCATTTACATTATGACTTAAATAGTCTTTTGTGAGCTGGACAGGCGAGTAGAACTACCGTTTGTGACATTGTTCCTATGGGAAAAGGTATACTAAGCTCCAAACCATTGACTTACAGATGAACTTTTGAAAGATGACCCAATTATAAGTAGGAGGAGATGGCCAGAAAGTGTGCTTTGGAGCTGATTTATGCTGGTAGCTAACCCTAGATTGTATACATCCTCCCCAGGATTTCAGACTTTATTCTTCCAACCCCGTCTCAATTTCCATCTTTGGCAGCTAACCAACTTTGACAGTTATGGGGCAAAGCGGCGTACAGAGAGCGGTGGAGAAAAGCTGCTGTTTCTCTGTCTTGCATTTCCTGCTCTCCCTTCTGGCAGCCCACCGCAATCAGTGACCCAATCAACAAATATATATTAAGTGCCTGTTTGGGAAGGAGAGTACAGAAATAGAAAAGTCAAGCAAGCAATGAGCATTTATCAAATGCTGTACTATATGCCAGGTACCGTGCTAGGTATTGAAAATACAAAGACCAGAATGAAACAGGCTTTGCCCTCAATAAGTATATGTTCAGTCAGATGGTCAACAAGCATTTATTAAGTGCTTAATGTATACCAGGAACGATGCTACATGCTGAGGATACAAAGAAAGGTAAAAGCACAGTCCCTGGCCTCAAATTGCTTACATCCCAATGGTGGAGGCAACATGCAAAAAAAAAATTGTACGATCCATATATTATATAGAGAGATATATGCACACATATATGTATGTATGTATTATAAGTGAAAAGTAATCCCAGAGGGAAAGCCCTAGAAGTGGTAAGCAGGAGTACCAAAAAAGGCCTCTTGCAGAAGGGGTGATCCATTCAATTCAATAAACATTTATGAAGCACCTACTATGTGCCAGGCACTATACTAAGTGCTAAGGATACAATTAAGAAAAAGAGAGACTGGCCCTGCCCTCAAGGAGCTTACAATCAACTGGAGGAAGACAACACCAAAAGGAAGCTGGAAGTGGACAGGACTGGGGAGGGGTGGGGAGAGAGGGGAAGCAGTTGAAAGACACCAGGGGCAGTTGGCGTGAAACATCTTGTTTCAGAGATTTCAGACCAAGCAGTACACCCAAGCTCACTTTGAGTGAGCTACAAACTCCAGGCCCAGCTCTCTATACATGAAACCTTGGCTTGGATTTTAGCACTCACCCTCGGCCCTCCAATCAGAGGGGAGATAAGGCTGATTGATAGGATTGGAAAGGTGCTGAATAGACTATGGGTTCGGTGTTTTGGTATAGCCTGGGAGAGCATTCCCACCGGCCCTTCCCCTGGAAAGGGGGCTGGTTGTATAAAAACAAATAGTGATTTACACAAACAAAACTAATGCAGCTAAAAGTAGAAGGAAAACAGGAAACTTGGGGGGGAAATTTACAGAAAGTTTCCCTGGTAAATACCTCATTTCTTAAATATGTAGGGAATTGAGCCAAATTTATAAAAATAAAAGCCATTCCCCAGTTCATACATAGTCAAAGGACATGAACAGGCAGTTTTCAGAAAAAGAAATCAAAGCTATTAATAGTCACAAGAAAAAATGCTCTAAATCACTACTGATGAGAGAAATACAAATTAAAACAACTCTGAGATACCACCTCGTATCAGATTGGCTAACGTGACACCAAAGGAAAATGATAAATGCTGGAGGGGAGATGAAAAAATTGGGACACTAATGCACTGCTGGTAGAATTGTGAACTAGTCAGACCATTCAGGAGAACGATCTGGAACTTCACCCACAAGGCTATAAAACTATGCATACCCTTTGACCTAGCAATATCAGTACTAGGTTTATATCCCAAAGAGATTTTTTTAAAAAAAGGAAAAGGAACTATGTGTACAAAAATATTTATAGTAGTTCTTTTAGTGGTGGCAAAGAATTAGAAATTGAAGGGATGTCCATCAATTAGGGAATGGCTGAACAAGTTGTGATATATGATTGTGATGAAATACTATTCTGTTATGAGAAATGATGAGCAGGATGCTTTTAGAAAAACCTGGGAAGACATACATGAATACTCATGCAAAGTGAAATGAGCAGAACCAGGACAACAGTCTACACGGTGACAGCAATATTGTAAGGATGATCAACCCTGAAAACCTTGGTTACTCCAATCAAGACAATGATCCAAAACAATTCTGAAGGACTCATGATGAAAGATACTATCTACTTCCAGAGAGAGAGCTGAAGAACTATGAACACAGATAGAAGCACACTTTTTTCCACTTTATTTTTAGTTTTATTGTATTTGTGTTTTCTTTTACAACATGGCTAATATGGAAATAATGTTTTGCATGACTTCACATGTATAATCAATATCAAATTATCTGCCTTCTCTTTTCTTTTTTTTTTTAGGTAATTGGGGTTAAGTAACTTGCCCAGGGTCACACAGCTAATGTCAAGTGTTTGGTTTGAGGCCGGTTTTGAACTCAGGTCCTCCTGACTTCAGGGCCGGTGCTCTATCTGCTGTGCCACCTAGCTGGCCCAAATTATCTGCCTTCTCAAAGAGAGAGGAAGGGCATGGAAGAGGGAAAGAATTTGGAACTCAAAACTTTTAAAAATGAATGTTAAAAGTTTTTATGGGTAATTGAGAAATATTTAAAAAATAAAAATATTATAATGAACAAATAGAAAGGGTGTACATTCCTTGTGAGAGCCAGTGGGAATGCTTCCCCAAAGTGTGCCTGCTCATGCTCTCTCTGTACCTATGGTATACATATATAAGTAAGTAAACTAAATGGAGTGAGGCACTAATAAATCAATCAGGCATTTTATTAAGTATCCACTATGTGCCAGGTACTATAACTATGTACTGATGATTATTGTTATTGTTGTTTTCAGTTGTGTTTGACTCTTCATGACCCCCTTTGGGATTTTCTTGGCAAAGATACTATTGGTTTGCCATTTTTCTTCTCAAGATCATTTTACTGATGAAACTGAGGCACACAGGGTTAAATGACTTACCCAGGGTCACAGAGGTAGTAAGTGTCAAAGGCTAGATTTGAACTCACAAAGATGAGTCTTCCTGACTGGAGGCCCCAGCACTCTATCCACTAGAACACCTAACTGCCCAGATTGGACAATTATAGTTAACTCTGGAGAGAACAGTTTCAGTTGAGTGATGACATTGGAAACCAGATTGCAAGGGTTTGAGACATTAGCATTGACCTTGGTGTCCAAGGGCCTGAGTTCAAACCCCAGCTTTGATACCTACTAACCATGTTATCATGGGTAATTAACCTAACCATTCTGTGTTTCTGTTTCTTCATCTTTAACATTGCTTGCATTGCCAGGATTGTCAGGAAGTTTTGTAAAACTTAAATATGAGCTCCAACACTGACTAGCTGTGTATGCATGGGTGAGTCACTTTAATTCTCTGAATCTCAGCTGCCTATTATATAAAATGGGTATATTCTTGTACTACCAATCTTATAGGGTTATGGTGAGAAAAGCATTTTAAAACTCTATAATATTTCATAAATATTCATTATTATTACTATTACTAACTTTGTTATTATTACTAGTAATAATGATTATTACTACTATGCAATTCAATTCAACTGAAAAGCATTTTTTAAGCCTGTATTATATGTAAGGTACTGTGCTAAACATTAGGAATGATGCATAAATGAAAACCATTCCCTATTTTCAAAGAATATATTCCTTGTGCATGTATAAATAATATATATACACAAATACATGTGTATATACACATGCATATGTGTATATATGTATATACATGTATATTCATGTATATGTACATTATTCAGGCCATGCAGGATGTAAGTAGGTTATTCAAGGAGATGGCATAAGATCATAAATTTGGAACTGGAAAGAAACTTGGAGGTCATATAGTCAACCCCACACTCCTCTCTCAAAGGCAGCTAGGTGATGAAGTAGATTACACACTGGGCCTGGAGTCAGGAAGACCTGAATTCAAATCCAGTCTCAAACATTTACTAGCTATGTAACTTTAGGCAAACTATTTAACCTTTGTCTGCCTCAGTTCCTTCATCTGTAAAATGGGGATAATGATGGCACCTACCACCCAGAGTATTTGTGAGGATCAAATGAGATAATATTTGTAAAGCATTTGGCAAATCTTATGTAAATGTTAGCTATTATTATTGTTATGGGTGAAAACACTAACAACTAGGACAGCAGTGTTCTAGGACACTGGCTCTGGAGACCGAAACCTGGGTTCGAATCCAGCCTGTGAAGTTTATTAACTGTATGATCTTGGGCAAGTCACTTTACCGCCTTAGTTTCCTCATCTGTAAAATTTAAAGGGTTGTACTAGGCCTTTGAGGACCCTTCAGACTCTGGATTTATGATCTTGTGACTACTTTTTAATTTTTTTCACTTTTTTTTTTTAGTAGCAGCATGGCATTGTGTCTAGAGAGCTGAATTTAGAAAGACCTAAGTTCGAATCCTGTCTCAGGCACTTTCTAGTCATGGGTAACTTACTTAACCTCTCTGGGACTCAGTTTTTTCATCTGTCAAAAGATGAGATTGGACTAAATAGTGTCTACTGTCTCTTCCAACTCTATTCTGTGATCCTTTAAACTAGGGAAATCAGGGAAGACTTCCAAAAAAGCAAGCACCTGAGCTGAGCCTTAAAGGAAGTTGAGGTTTCTAGGAGGCAGTGATGGGGAGGGGATACATTCCAGATGTTGTGGGGTAGCCTGAATAAAGGCAGAGAGGTAGAAGACTAAGTGTCAGATTTAGTGCTGGGAGAGGCAGAATACTCGTGAGCCTTAGTCCTTATCTTTGAGAACCTTACAATCTAATTAGGGATCTAATGGGGAGACAAGATAAGGAGAGGTAAAGAAGCAACTAGCAATCTTGTCAGGAGGGCCCAAATGAGTGGTGCGGACAGTCAGCCAGTCAATAAGCACTGAGGTTACAAAAGGTACCAAAAGATTC